GCAATCCTCTCACCCCTTAGTCTTCTCCTTTCTAAGGTGAAAAGTCCCAGTCTTATTAATACCTCCAATGCATGAGGTTAGATGTTCTTATGTTCTTATGTGAATTCTGAAGTGAGCATACCAAGACAACCACGAAAAGGGGAGCAATCACATGTCCACCAAAAGCTTCAGTGGCACAAGCAGGCTGCCACTGAAATTGGAGCACTTTTGACAACTTCTCCATGACGGATCTTCGCAGAGCCCTGGTGATTTTCTGTTGGGATTCACAGTGAAGATGTTAATGACGGTTTGGTGGCATGAATGGCCGTGAGACTCTGTATCCTAAAGCAAATAAACATCCTGTTCCCTCCCCCCACACACACCATGGTCATCCCAATTATAAATCTCAATAAATCTTGTAAAATGTATGTCATGTGAGGTGTCTATAGACAGGCTGCGGTTTACTGACTGATTCCCCTCTGTGTTCAATTCTCATTTCTTATCTGAAATTACAAATATTGACTATGTACCTGTATCTCCAATCTCTTTGCTCCTGTGGTAGGCAGAACAGAAAGGACCACCAACCAACCAGAAGGTTGTTTCCATCCAGTCTAGGCTCCACACTGTGAATGGTTTATTCAAGTTAAGGCCCAACAATGAACCCAACGATCCCTGGAAGACGTTTATCCCACCTCATGGACTTTCCTGGAGATGTTGTAACCAGAATCTGGGTTACCCCTCCTGCAACGACCCACTGAAGTGCAGAACAGCATGTGACCAGCCCATATGACACCGAACTCCATTTTGTGGCTGTCATTTGCTTCTCAAGGAGCTGGGAGCTTTGTAGGGGCAATGAAGTTCCTTCTACCTGGCGGATGCTGTAAATGGGGGATCTGACATCACAGTTGGATTCACTTTCCCTGCCACTGAGCCCCTGAAAACATGGCTGGAGGACAAAGGGCTGTGACCGGGGAGGTGGCCCCAGGCTGGGAAGGAGAGATCATAGCCTGTGGTGACCTCTATGTTGCATCAGAGTGACACTGCTGGATTCAAATCCGGTCTGAATGGCAGAGCTCAGATTGTCGTGTTAGATGTCAAGTTGGACAATGCACAGTTGGCTCGAAAGCCACCGCTGGCAATTACGTAAACCTGACACTAGTGTAGAGGATACACAAGACCTACACAAGTCGGGTCTCTGAAGGGCAAAGGGAAATCTGTTCAGGAATGGGTCCTGGTTTACAGAGCTCTTGCTACGGAGGGAGGAGCAGCCAGGGTAATACATTTACACTGCTCCGGATAAGAGTTCTGAGCTCAGAGCTTTGGGAACTGAGGGGAACAGCCTGCGTATCGTTGTCATTACATGAGTGGCTGGCAAAAGTGCCAAGGTCACTGAAGGTGGATGTGACAAAACCACAATGTGGGAGGGGGCTCAAGCTGGTATCCCAGAATGCTTAGCATTACCTCAGTCCCAGGCCACACCCCACGGATGTCTGTGGTGACCAGGTAACAAACACTCCCTGCTAATCCATGACTCCCGTTCCCTCTTGGCATGCATTGAGTTAGTTATGGGAGAAAGTGGTTACATCAGTAAAGTCAGGACTCCTACTTGCTGTGACCCTGGCAAAATTACATCGCCCCATGCCTCAGTTTACCTATCTGTTAATGTGCATATGATCATAGTGACTTTCCTTTCATAGGTGTTCTGCAAAACCCTCAATGAAAGCTGCTGCACAGAATGGAGATAAGTATTGATGATAATTACTCATCTCTAATCTTAGATTGCATCTCCCTCAGTTACTTTCACCCATCTGTCTTACCTACCATTTACCCATCCATCATGGGCACGTACAGTGTATCAGATCTCACGCAGGACTGGTGTTAGCCCTTGATTTCTTGTTAATCAATTTTTTTGTTAAATATAGTGAAATACCCCGAACAGGCACTTCCTCTCTGACTCAGCCCGGAGTGCGAGAGTTCTCCTCTCCCTCGGGCAGGTCCCTTAATTACCCTTTATCCTTAGGGTTGGACAAAGTGCAGAAGCACAGACGTGGAAACAGAGACACTGGCAAGTGTGTCTCCAGGCGCCAGCCTGTTTACAGTCAGATGCTGGACTGTTCTCTGGAGGTCCAGGGACCCTCATGGGGATTGAGCGCAGCTGAGTTATAAATGCTTGGTAAGCCCCTGGGTTGCTCTCGGATGTTGCTGCCAGTGCGGGAGCGAGAGCGGTGTGGGGCTCCGCTCCGTGAGAGACGTTCCCAGGGAGGACGCTGTTGACTCAGAATTCACAGGTACCATCGCTGGGGAGGAGCTCACCTGCGTGATGAACTCAGTGAACCATGGGTGTGAGGGGCACAGACGGGATTTGGGTCCTTTCAGCTCCGCTTAGTGTTCAACGTTAACAGACACCTGGGTGCTCTCGTGGGGTGACGCGGGGTGAGAGGCGGGTGGGACACACCAAGCTGAGGTAGATTGTGGGGGAAGTTCAGAGGGACCCATCCCTTGCTAAGGAGCTCGACTGCTTCCCATCACAGTGCAATGTGCCTGTGGGTGACAGAGAGTAAGTCTCTGGTCCGTTCTCCTCTGCATGGCCATGCAACACCCCAGCACCGTCACCATGGGACATGAGTACTAGTGTCCAAAACACCGTTCTGTGCTGTGCCCCCTGCTCTCGGATGCCTGTTGGTCTCTCCCGCAATGGCTGCATTTCAGTGGCAAGGGGGACCCTTCCGGATGGAAGGGCTCGGTAGATTCCAACACAAGCCAGATTCTGAGGCTGTACCGGCTGCGTACCCAGACCTCACTGAGGCAACGCTCCCCTTGGAGTGAGAGTCGACTAAAGACCCCCGGGACAGCTGTGTGTTAATGCAGAGAGACCGTCAGCTCGTCCTCCTGCGTGTCAGAGCCCTGGCCGGTAACACGTGTGGGTGGAGGGTTGGTACCTGCCGTTTGTTGGCTAGAAATCATTTAGATGCCAGGGCTCCTCACCGGAAGCATTACAAAGGCTTTTCCGCGTGAGTAAGGCATGTTCTCTCCTCGCTTCACTTAAGAAGTTTCATAAACTGTGAGGCCAGAAGCAGACACTATATGGGGGACATGTTACCATATTTGCCCAGTACACTGGGGTATGCGCCTTTATTAGAGTGACTCTTTTGGGCCGTGGGGGAGGTTCACAATTCTATCCGTGTGCTGCTTGTGCTACTTGTGCTCCCATATGGAGCTGAATTCTCCCTGCTGCCAATTCCCCCTCCCACTGGAGCTCTCTGCAGGAACTAGGTTCCTCAGGATGGGGTTGTTCAAACTTTAGCAAACACACCCAGACACTCACCCCCACTACCACAGCACGTCTGAGAGGACTGGGGAATCAGCATTCACAAGCTGACCCCTCATACGTCCCTGGACTCAGCTGGCTGGGTTTCACAGCGATGCCACACTGCATCCTCATGTGCCTTTGGACTCTATGGGCTGGATGAAACAGCACTTTAAGCTGCCATCCTCATTTGCCCTATCCCAAGAACCCCCTATCCCCACTTTCACACCACAGTCATTCACTGGGAAACCACACGATGAGCAAACCCCACAAGATTTGCCCTATCCCCAGCACCCCCTATCCCCACTTTCACACCACAGTCATTCACTGGGAAACCACACGATGAGCAAACCCCACAAGATTTTGGGCACTACAGGTATCTTTCGCTTGGGTACAAGAAGCGTTGTTGCTGCAGTGGTTAGGAATTCTAGCCTGATAGTTCATCTGCATCAGCTTGGCTGTAACTGGACCCTCTTGCCTCCTGTGCTGTGCGCTCTGGCAGAGGGAGAACAACTTTCCCCATCTTTTCTCTCACCCTCTAACAATGGGCCAAAACCTTTTTCAGCAATTTGTTTTTTTGTAGAAGAGTTAAATGTTTTCTTTTTAAAAGCTTCAGGGGTTAGCCGAGTTCGTCTGTACAGGATAAACTTTAAAAATAACAAATTGTCCTGTAGTACTTTAAAGACTAACGAAATATGAAGATGGTATCATGAGCTATTGTGGGTAAGGCCCGCTTCTTCAGATGACGTGAGTGTTGGTCCACTATAACCCCTAGTTCCCTTTCTGCCGTACTCCTTCCTAGACAGTCGCTTCCCATTCTGTGTGTGTGAAATGGATAATTCCTTCCTACATGGAGCACTTTGCATTCGTCTTTATTAAATTTCATCCTTACTGAACTTCATAGGGCAGGCTCCCCCCATTCTCACAGCTTGTGACAACTAATCCCTTTCTTTCTGCTCTGTCCTTTATTGAGAAGAGGTGATGAGTCCTCAGCACATGTCCCGAGACGGTTCTCCTCCATCCCATTCCTTAGGTATCCAAACATGGTCTTTCTTTGGCTACTGCTGGGATTGAGCAGGTGTTTCCATTGAGTTGCTATCAGTGACAACAAAGTCTATTCCCCAAAGTGTGTTCCAGTTTTCCCATGGTACAAAACTTGGCAAAGCTTTTTTTTTCAGTCTCAGATTCTGAAGGTTCAGGTAGATGAATGCAGCCTGGAACAAGAAGGGATGACCAGTATCCATGTTTGTGTTTCCTGCTGGTGCCTACTGAGTTTTCCCACCCCACGACATGTAGGAGTTACCAACCCAAAGAGCACCAGAAAATAGGGAACTTGAATGAGTTGGGTAAGTGGCTCAGAATTCACTTCCCTGAATAATGTCAATGGTATTTTTCATTGTGTGAAGAGTGAGGAGTTTGCTTCACATGTGTGAAGAGCCCCCAGCAATGCCGGTCGTGTTTCTCATCAACATTGTCTTTCCTTCCAGGCATTTGATCTATGATGATCATCAGAGAACCTGGGCACTTTCAGGAAGTCAGGGAAGTGCACGGTAAATGCAGGAGACATTGTCCTGTCTCAGGGTTGGACGTTTTTTTCTCCTGATCCATGTCAAAGTCCAATACAATCAACTTTACCAGCCCCTCCACATTGAACATATGGTACATTCCAGAGACATTGTTGTGCCTCAGAGTTCAAGACCTTCTCCCCTGCTCCATGTCAGATTCACACACACCCAACTCCCCCAGCCCCTCCTCTTTCATCCTGCTGGGAATTCCTGGCCTGGAGACGGCCCATGTCTGGATCTCCATCCCCTTCTGCACAATGTATGTTATAGCCCTCTTGGGCAATTTCACCGTCCTCTTCATCGTGAAGAAGGAGCCGAGCCTCCATGAGCCCATGTACTATTTCCTGTGCATGCTGGCTGTCACTGACCTGGTCCTGTCCACGTCCACCCTGCCAAAAACACTGAGCATCTTCTGGTTCAATTCCAGGGAGATCGATTTTGGTTCGTGCCTCACCCAGATGTTCTTCATAGGTAGCTTTTCAGCAATGGAGTCTGGGATCATCGCGGCCATGGCCTTGGATCGCTACGTGGCCATTTGCCATCCCCTGAGACATTCCACCATCCTGACAAACTCTGTGGTTGCCAGGATAGGCCTGGCCGTGGTGCTGCGCAGCTGCATCGTCTCACTGCCCTCTCCCTTCCTGGCAAGTCAGTGGCCATATTGCCGAACCAACGTCATTTCCCACTCGTTCTGTGAGATGATGGCTGTGGTGAAACTGTCCTGCAGGGACACCAGCCTCAGTGATTACTACGGCCTCATTGTAATACTCCTGGTCGCTGTTATGGATGTGTTTTCCATCACAGTGTCCTACACCCAGATACTCAGGGCCATCTTCAGCCTCCCCACCAAGGATGCCCGGCTGAAGACTTTTGGGACCTGCAGCTCCCACCTCTGTGTCATTTTAGCCTTTGGAATCCCAATTCTCTTCACCATGTTCACACACCGGCTTGGCCACCATGTGCCCCTGTATGTCCACATTCTCATGGCCAATGTGCACATGCTAATGCCCCCTTTTCTGAACCCCATCATCTACGGGGTGAGGACCAAACAGATCCGAGACAGGCTGCTGAGGCACATAATTGAGATGGAGTAATTTTTTCCCCGGTGCTCTGGTCTTCAGACCGAGATTCTTCTGAGCTGGCTGATGACTTGGTGCTGAGTTCTCTTCCCTAACAAGAGAGACATTAAACCTCTTCATGGCCTTACAGGGCTGTAACTATGACACAAACTGGGGAATCATAGAATCCCAGGGTTGGAAGAGACCTCAAGAGATGTTGAGTCCAATCTCATGCCCAAAGCAGGACCAACCCAACTCAATCATCCCAGCCAGGGCTGTGTGAAGCCGAGACATAAACACCTCTAGGGATGGAGATTCCACCCCGTCGCTCTGCAGCCTCTGACAAACAGAGGTCAGGGACACCATTTTTATCCTCTGGCTAATAGCCTTTTATGGACGTAACCTCCATGAAATTATCTACCTTCTCTTTAAACCCTGTTATCGTCCTAGCCTTCCCAGCCTCCTCTGGCAAGGAGTTCCACAGGTTGACCACACTCTGGTAACAAAAGGCTGGTCATTCAAGTAATTAAGGGATCCTTAGATCATCCTGAAAATATTGCTAGGTACTTAAAGCTGGGGGCGACGGGGGGAAGAGTAGCAATACGTGTTGTGCTGCTGGAATTTCCATTTGGACAAGTACTGTTAAACTTTTAAATGTTCTTGAGAAGAAGGTAGGGTATGTCTACACTACAATGTTAGTTCGAACTAACAGACGTTAGTTCAAACTAACATTCATAGCCGCTACACTAGCGCTCCGCTAGTTCGAATTTAAATCGAACTAGTGGAGCGCTTAGTTCGAACTAGGAAAACTTCATTTTACGAGGATTAAGCCTAGTTCGAACTTACTAGTTCGAATTAAGGGCTGTGTAGCCCCTTAATTCG